AGACTCTACTACAGAGCTACAGTACTGAAAACAGCCTGGTACTGGCATAAGAGCAGACAGGAGGACCAATGGAACTAAATAGAAGACCCAGATATCAATCCACACATCTTCAAACACCTGATCTTTTGATAAAGAAGCAAAAAATATCAAATGGAAAAAAGAAAGCATATTTAACAAGTGGTGCTGGCATAACTGGATATCAACATGTAGAAGAATGAAAATAGACCCATATATATCACCATGCACAGAACTCAAGTCCAAATGGATCAAGGACCTCAACATAAAGCTAACCACAGTGAACCTTACAGAAGAGAAAGTGGGAAGTACACTTGAATGCATTGGCACAGGGAACCACTTCCTAAATATAACCCCAGCACCAAGACTCTGAGAGAAACAGTTAATAAATGGGACCTCCAGAAACTGAAAAGCTTCTGTAAAGCAAAGGACACGGCCAACAAGACAAAACAACAGCCTACAGAATGGGAAAAGATCTTCACTAACATCACATCAGACAGAGGTCTGATCTCCAAAATATACACAGAACTCAAGAAATTGGACACCAAAAGATCACATAATCCAATAAAAAAATGGAGTACAGACCTAAACAAAGAACTCTCAACAGAAGAATCTAAAATGGCTGAAAGACACTTAAAGAAATGTTAAACATCCAACATCCTTAGTCATCGGAGAAATGCAAATCAAAACAACTCTGAGATTCCAATATCCAACATCCTTAGTCATCGGAGAAATGCAAATCAAAATAACTCTGAGATTCCATCTTACACCTGTAAGAATGGCCAAGATCAAAAACACTGATGACAACCTGTGCTGGAGAGGTTGTGGGGAAAAGTGAACACTTCTGCATTGCTGGTGGAAATGCAAGCTGGTACAACTCCTTTGGATGTCAGTGTGGTGATTTCTCAGAAAAGTAGGAAACAACTTTCCTCAAGACCCAGTAATACCACTTTTGGGTATATATACAAAGGATGCTCAATCGTGCCACAAGGACATGTGCGGAACTCTGTTCATAGCAGCATTGTTTGGCATAACCAGAACCTGGAAACAACCTAAATGCCCCTCAACCAAAGAATGGATAAGGAAAAGGTGGTACATTTACACAATGGAGTACTACACAGCAGAAAAAATAACTACAGCCTGAATTTTGGAGGAAAATGGATGGAACTAGAAAACAGCATTTTGAGTGAGGTAACCCAGACACAGAAAGACAATTATCACATGTACTCACTCATAGGTGGTTTTTAAACATAAAGCAAAGAAAGCCAGCCTACAACCACAATCCCAGAGAACTTAGACAACAATGAGGACACTAAGAGAGACTTACATAGATCTAATCTACATGGGAAGTAGAAAGTAGAAAAAGACAAGATCGCCTGAGTAAACTGGGAGCATGGGGACTTTGTGGGAGGGTTGAAGAGGAGGGGGTGAGGCAGGGAGGGGAGCAGAGATAATTGTAGAGTTCAAAAAATATTAATAAAAAAAGGAGAAGATCTACACTGGAATGAAGTTATCACTTCCACCCCATCGACTTGCTACAGAAGACAGCTGGCAATAAGCCACTCACTCCTGAAAAGAGTTCTCACCTGAGAAATCGACGTGATTTTGTCCTGGCATGCAGGACCCAAAACAAACTCCCATGTTTATGATCAATTAAATCTCAACAAAATGCTGCAAAATCATTCTTAAGAACAATATTTTTAGCTGTGGTGGTGCACGCCTTTAATCCCAGCACTCAGAGGTGGGCGGATCTCAATGAGTTCGAGGCTAGCCTGGTCTTTAAGAGCTAGTTCCAGCCCAGCTTGGCTGCCTTGTGCGCTGGGCCTGGGCTGTGGGTGCAACGCTGCAGGAGGCAGTTCCTGTGTTTTGATAGCCTGTCCAAGGAGAGGTGGGCCCTGTATCAGCTCAGTGACATTCCTGGCCAGCAAGGGGCAATGATCTTCTAGCAGACATCCATCGGACCCCTTGACTCCCTGGTCACCATGCAGTGGTGGCTCCACCCTGCGGAGCTCTCCTGCCTCCCATCCCAGCTTTCATCCAGGTACACCTTCCTCTCTTCCTCCCTTCCCTCTGGGGCCATAAGATCTCCCCAGCTCAGCTGCCTTGTGCACTAGGCCTGGGCTGTGAGCATGCTGCAGGAGGGAGTGCTTGTGTTTCTATAGCCTGCCTGAGGAAAGGTAGGCCTTCTGTCAGTGAAATCCCTTCCCAACAATAGAACCTGACCTGGTATCAGAAGATCCAATAGAGAGCATTTGAAGGAAGAGATGGGCAGACGCCAAGGCAAGAACCCCTCCAACAATCTGAAAAACAACATGAAAACACCAGATCCCAATGACCCTACAATAGAAGGACTTGAACACCTTAATCCAGAAGAAGTGGGAAAAAATGCCATTATGAAAGCAATAGAGTTCCTTAAACAGGATATGAATAACTCTCTTAAAGAATTGGATGAGGGCCTTATGGAGACCTGCCAGGAGGCAAGTAAAAAACCGGTCCCTAGATAAAATCCCACCCAGAGTATTATAATACTCCAGATGCCTCCAGATGGCACAAGTAGAAGATGCCACACTCACTTTCCAATGCTGCTCACCTCTTAATATCTCAAATCTCCTACCTCAACTAACATTAATTAATCTCCATCTCACTCCTGCATAGAGACCTTAGAGGATCTACTGCCCCACTCCTCACATATACAGGAGGGCAAACTGTCCCAGGCCACTTATACCTGGTACATAAATGGCAGCTCCTTTTTATGTGATGGGACCTATAGAGCACGCTATACCATAGTACCATATACTGGGGTAGTGGAGGCACAGGCACTCCCTGCCCATACCACTAATCAGCAGACTGAGTTAATAGACCTTACCCATGCCTTCCAGTTAGCAAATGGACAATCTTTAAATGTTTACACAGACTCCAAATATGTCTTTCATATCCTGTTCCCTACAGCTATTTGGAGGGAGTGTGGGCTTCTTATGACAAAAGGAGAATCCATAACTAACTCAGGTTACATTATGGACCTGTTAAAAGCCTCCCATCTCCCCCAAGCTATAGGAATTACTTACTGTTGGTCTCATTGAACTGACAGTTCCATTATTTCCAAGGGAAATAACCGGGCTTGATGTAGGTGTGTGTTTCTATGTGTTACTTTCATTGGTTAATAAAGAGACTGCTTGGCCTGATAGGTTAGAACATAGGTAGGTGGGGAAGACAGAACAGAATGCTGGGAGGAAGAAGGCAGTGAGGCAGTCGCCATGACTCTCCTCTCCGAGACAGACCCAGGTTAGAATCTTCCCAGTAAGCCACGACTTCATGGTGATATACAGATTATTAGAAATGGGTTAATTAGTATGTGAGAGTTAGCTAATAAGGGGCTGAAGATAATGGGCCAGGCAGTGTTTAAATGAATACAGTTTCCGTGTAATTATTTCAGGTAAAGCTAGCTGGGCAGGCGGTGGGAAGCAGCCTGCCGTTCACACTACATGGGCTGACCAAGCAGCTAGAACAGCAGCATTCCAGAGCCCAAATCTACCTCAGTCACCTCAGGGGGTTCAGACAGTACAGCCCGCATTCTCGCATACACCCCCTGACACCCAGCAAATTCTGTCCTACCTACATCAGCTCTTTCATTCTAATAGCAAAGCTCTATTTCATTTTGTTAAGGCTCACCTCCAACTTACCCCTGAGGACTTAAAGTTCTTAAAAGCTATCACTGCTTCATGTAAAATCTGTCACAAGTCAGATCCCAAGACCAAATATTGTAACTTTCTTTTTCCCACCCACCAGGCCAAGGGCTCCCTTCCAGGAACTGACTGGCAGCTGGATTTTACTCATATGCCCATGGTCAGAAGAGTTAAATATCTCCTGGTTTTGGTGGATACAATGTCTGGGTGGATTGAATCATTTCCCACCACTAATAAGAGGGCCCAGACAGTTTCTGATGGTCTTCTCTGAGAAATCACCCACTGGTTTGGAATCCCAACCTCTCTTCAATCAGATAATGGCCCAGAGTTTACTTCCCAGATTTCTCAAAAATTGTCTAAGGCTTTTAACATTCCCTGGCATTTCCATATCCCATACTACCCTCAGTCTTCGGGGAAAGTAGAACAAACTAACCGTTCTTTTAAAAATGTTCTTGTTAAAATGTCACAGGAGCTTGACTGTGTAAAACTTTGCCTCTGGCCCTTCTAAGGCTTAGAACTCTCCCCCAAAGCCCCCTTTTAATCTCACCCTTTGAACTCAAGTATAGGCAGCCAGTTTTAACCCCCAGCCTCTCACCTCTCCACTTCCTGCTCATCTGCTTACTCCACTGTTATCCCATTTATGCTCCCTATTATGGGATTTTATCAATTACTAATTACCTCAATCATGTGCTAATTTATGCCCACTGCTGATTAAAATAGGGGATCAGGTACTATTCTCTCCCCCAGACCAATGCCCCTCACCCCTTTTCCCTAAATTGCAGGGCCCCTTTAAAGTAATTCTTGTAACTCTCACAGCAGCCAAGCTTGAGGAACTTCCTCATTGGATTCACCTGTCCCATCTTAAACTTTTTACTCTCCCAGCTTAAGATACTCCCTTGTATATGGTGATTCAAACAGGGTCCTGTTCCCTTAAGTTCTAGAGGACACCAAGATCAGCCACTTTTTCTCCAATTCCAGAAAAATAAAAGTCTCATCATTACTCAACTCTCCTGTGCCAACAACTCCATATACTCTCCCTCTTCCTCTTTCTCCTATATGCTTTACCAACTTCTCTATATCTCTAATGTCATGCTTAAATTTCTAGTTAACCACTCAGCTATTATTACAGGGACCATGATTAAACATAGAGCCAGAGGTACAAAGACTGTCAAAAGCTCAGGTGGTAAGAAACAATAATGAGTTTGCAGTCCCAAATTTCAAAAAACTCACAAAACAGGCTTTTACATAACAGGTTTATCACTGACTGCAGCAATGTTTCCTGGGTGTTAAGATAATACCACGATGCTAAAGGAAAACAAGTGCCTTAAGATTTACTTCAGGTAAAGCATTAAATGGTCTAATAATTGTCCTTTTCAATAATTTCTCCCTTCTTCCCCCCACCATCTCCCATTCCAACAATATATCATTGTAATCATAAACTTTTAACATGTCTAAAATTTATTTTTTTGTTTTTAAAGATTTATTTATTAATTATGTATACAGCATTCTACTTGCATGTGTCCCTGCAGGCCAGAAGAGGGCACCAGATCTCATTACAGATGGGTGTGAACCATCATGTGGTTGCTGGGAATTGAACTCAGGACCTTTGAAAGAACAGTCAGTGCTCTTAACCTCTGAGCCATCTCTCCAGCCCTAAAATTTATTTCTTTTCAAACATTTTTTTCATAAGCTCCAGGGAGTCAATTGGACCTACCTAAACAGACCAGACTCACCCAGAATAAGTATCATTTAATACTTCTCTTACCATTCCTGGTCTCAGGAAGCCCTGGGAAATTCCTTCCTTCATCCTCCAAAAGAACCCCTCTCTATCTTCCATCTTGCGACTCTCCTCTCTCAATCACCGGGATCTAAATTTTTTCCTGACATAATTTTCTGCCTTTCCAGCATCTTGCGAGTTCCAAGCTGCCAGCTAGCCAGTTCCATAGAGCCTGGAAAAACAACAGTAATCAGCCATCCCAGGACGTGGTCAAGTATCTCAACTCCCCAATGCCCACAAAATCAGCAACGACGCCCACAAAGTAAGCGTGAAGCAGTCATGAGAGACCTTACAATGCCCCATTCCCATCCATTAAGACCCCCAAACCCCCAAATTTTTATAATAAACAAAAGGGTAGAATGTAATTATTCAGCCACACTAAGACTGCACTTCAAGGTTCTAGAGCAATGCATGTGCAGACGGAGATGTCTGAATGTTAAAGGGCCCCTGTGTGACCCACGTGCCTGCATACGTGGTTTCATCCATGTATGATTTAGCTAAGTCCTTGCACACATGTGTGAGCTCGTCATCTGCATCATCTGCTTATGACATAGTCACGCCAGCCCCCTGTGCACATGCGCTAGGCAGCTTTTACAAAGCTGGAAGCGCCATCTTTCTCTCTCACTCTGCACACCAATTTCTGGGTCTACATGCACCCCCTCTAATAAACTCCAAAGTGGGTTTATTGTGTGTTCTGTGTTTCCTTCTCACTTGCGTCCAGATAATTTCACTGACTAGAAAATGGTACCAGATCTCATTCAGATAGTTGTGAGCTACCATGTGGTTGCTGGGATTTGAACTCAGGACCTCTGGAAGAACAGCCATTGCTCTTAACCACTGAGCCATCTCTCCAGCCCCAAGGATAATTCTTAGTACATATTAGAGGCTCCACAAGTATTTGATGAGTTAGGAAGTGATGGTTAGTGAAGCTCTATGACAACCAAAACCTGAACTCTGCCTTCCTTAATTTAGAGCTGTTATGGGGCAGTGTTTACACAGTGATATGACACTCTCAAGTCCTCCTGCATGTGGATGGAATCGGACTGGGTGATTAACCCTCAGCAAAAGGAGTGGTATATATTACTCCTGTGACAAAGTGATTTTATATCCGTGGTGAAATTGTCCACCTGTATCTTTGTAGTGGGAGGTCACTACCAGAGGTGACCCACCAGATTCTCATTCAGATGAAATTCAAATAAGAATTAAGCTTCAGTTGCTTTAAGCTGTGGAGCTTTGGGGTTCTTTGTTAAAAAAGTTAGCTTGTCTTAAATGTTACTGAAATTACTTGGCACGAGTGAGAAGGAAGCACAAAACACACAACAAGCCCACTTAGGAGTTTATTAGAGGAGATGTGTACAGGCCTGGTGAAGTTGGTGTGCAGAGAGGGCTGAAGATGGCGTGTCCAGCTTTTAAAGGCTGCCTAGTGCATGCACACAGGGGGTTGACATAGCTACGTCATACACAGATGAGGGAGCTCATGCATGTGCGCAAGGGCTTACCTAGCTGCGTCATACGTAGGTGATGCAACTGTGCAGCATGTAGGTCACGCATGGCCTTTTAAGGTCCCCGGGGTGGCTAGGTATTTTGCCTGAGGGCTTGTCCACACATGCGTGGCCCTGGAACCGGGAAGTGCCAGCCTTGCTGTGTGGCTGGAATCTGACAGTTACTCCAGGAGCTCTGAGAGCCTCCTTCCTCTCCCACACCACCACAATCTACCTTGTCTTCTCTAATTCTCCAAACTGGAGTGATTTTCCCTACGCAAAACCTGACTGTGATGCTGCTTTGCTTAAAGTTCTTCCTGATTCCTTAAGGCCTTAGATAACCCCTCAGATTTATTTTACTTATTATTATGTATACAGTGTTCTCTCTGCACGTATGCCTGCAGGCCAGAAGAGGGCACCAGATCTCAGTACAGATAGTAATGAGCCATCATATAGTGATGAGGAATTGAACTCACGACCTCTGGAAGAGCAGGAGGTGCTCTTAACTGCTGAGCTATCCCTCCAGTCCAAAAGATTTTTCTAAGGAAGCTCTTTGGGTTAAATTTCCAATATTTTCCTGATGTGCACTCTGGTAAAAATTAACTCAAATCAAAACAAAACAAATGATTTTCTCTTTCATTTTTAACCAATTACACAACACAGTTCTCATCTCATGATATTTTCTTTTTTTTTTTTTGACAGGGTCTCTATGTAGCTCTAGCTGTCCTGGAACTTTTAGGTAGACCAGGCTGGCCTTGACCTCTCAGATACTCTGTTGGCTTCTCTCCTGAGTGCTGGGATTAAAAATGTGTGCTTTCATACCTAGTCTATTCTTTGCTTTTGCTGGTCCTTTCCCTCTTCCTTTAAAAAATTTTTTTGAGACAGGTTCTTTTTTTTTTTAAAGTTTTTCTAAAACTTGTATCTTAATACTCAGATTAAGCAACATTTTTAGTGATAAAACAAAAACGATAATGGTAATGCTGATAATGTTTACAATTGACATTACATAAATCCCATCTAAATTAGTTACCCTCTCATTTAATTGTTCCATTTTCAAACTGTGCAGAGTATTATCATACAGAGACCCAAATCCCTTTGATAGAATGGTGTTTCCCATTTTTTATTGATATTTATTGAGCTCTACATTTTTTTCCTGCTCCCTCCCTGTTTCTCCCCTCCCCTTCAACCCTCTCCCAAGGTTCCCATGCTCCCAATTTACTCAGGAGATCTTGCCTTTTTCTACTTCCCATGTAGATTAGATCCATGTATGTCTCTCTTAGAGTCTGAATTGTTGTCTAGGTTCTCTGGGATTGTGATTTGTAGGCTGGTTTTCTTTGTTTTATGTTTAAAAACCACTTTTGAGTGAGTATATATGATAATTGTCTTTCTGTGCCTGGGTTACCTCACTCAAAATGCTGTTTTCTAGTTCCGTCCATTTTCCTCCAAAATTCAGGCTGTAGTTATTTTTTCTGCTGTGTAGTACTCCATTGTGTAAATGTGCCACCTTTTCCTTATCCATTCTTTGGTTGAGGGGCATTTAGGTTGTTTCCAGGTTCTGCCTATGACAAACAATGTTGAGACAGTTCTTGATATAGAGCCTTGGCTAGCCTGGAACTTGGTAAGTAGACCAGGATGGCCTTGAACTCACAGAGATCTGCTTGTTTGCTTTTGCCTTCTAAGTGATGGTGTTAATGGTATGTGCCACCATGCCAAGTCCATGACCCTTTTGTAGTTTATGATGTATCTGGCATCATTGTGCTATAAATGACCTGTGTGGCTCTTGGTCTAGTTTTTTTGACTAGGCTCAGTGTCCATTGAGTGACCAGGACCTCGTCCTAGCATGTGAGCGTTGTAGGACCCAGCCCTGACAAACTCAACAGAGGCCTGAGTCTCTGTACTTTACCCTGTGGTTCTGATAAAGACCACAAACTGAGACTACCCAGGCACCTCCCAGGAACCAACCATTCAAAGAAAATTCCTAACATTCCTAACCATTGTAGATATGATCACCTGCTAGCACACACCCATTACTTTTCACCAGGAAACCCCTAGACAAATGTCAGCCAATCAGGGGTCCTGAACCTTAGAAATCCCTCACCCCCACTTTTACTACTATAAAAACCCAACCCTAGCTGAGCTTGGGGCTCTCTGATCATTCCAATATGTTGGGTGCACAGAGAGACCAACTTTGCAAACTTGTATAAGAATCAAGGCTCTTTGCTTTTATGTACAGGACTCGGTCTCCTAGTTGGTTTTGGGGAGAACTCCTGATCTGGGCAAACAACCATGACCTATGGTCATTGCTCTGGCCAAAGGAAGACTTCATTTCTAAATAACAACTGCTCATTTTCTCAGGATATTTCCTACATTGTTGCCAGTTGCTACTGAGATACCAGTTGCTTGGCTGGCTTTAGTACTAAATGGCTATTGCTGGGTCTCAAATCTGGGACAACAGCTGAGGTGCCCATGTAACATATCAGAGTGGACCTGGCTACCAGGTTCTTCCAATATCCCTCAGTCCACCATGGAGTCTGCTCTTGTATGTAAAAGCAAAGAGCCTTTGTAATGATCTGTCCTCCCTTTAAGAGAAAAGCCACGCCCACTCCCCCACATCCCCATCTACTGAGGCAAGCTTCCTTTCCTTTCCAGCTTTCCCTTCCTTTCCAACAGAAGAGGCAGCTTCTGTTTCTCCCTTCTCCCCACTTCTTCCTTTCCCCCGTTTCTCTCTCTCTCTCTCTCTCTCTCTGCTTCTGCTCTTCCCCCCTTCTTGCCTTCCCTTCCATAACCCACTAAATAAATATCCAACTTCACTCTGCATGATGTGCCTATCTGTCTCGGTCTCTCACCCACCATGTGCCTTCCTGCCTGGGACCCAGCTGCCTTCGTGGCCTGCTGTGGTCTCAGGACCCACTTCCCGCTGTCTGCACTTCAGGGACTTGCGGTGTGGTCTCATGGCCGGCTGGCCGCTCCAGCCCCTTGGGGACCTGCAGCATTTTACTTAATCCATTACAGCCTTTATTCAAGTTTAAGCTTGTACTCTCTGTCTCTCCGTCTCTCCGAAAGCAGAGAGTGTCTGGAATATTTGGGATGGGTTTTTTTTTTTTAATCATAGTAGAGGTTGGAGTGAGGGGATTTCCAGGGTTTAGGACCCTGATTGGCTTACATTTGTCTAGGGATGTTGGCAAAAGGGGAATAGGTGAGTCCTGGGCTCAGGGATATCTGGTGATCTTATCTAATCTTGTCTAATGGTTGGAATATCAGGTACTTCCCTTTAGATGCCAGCCCTCCCTGGATGGTGTCAATTTATGGTTTTTCCTGGAACCCAGTGCTACCTGCCATGGCGGCTGTGTGGCCTGGGCCCCATGTGTGGCTAGGCTGCCCTAGGCCCTACACCTGTCATCGATATGACTGGCATACTCTTCCCCCTCCCCTAAAGTTCTCTAGCCCAGGGCTGGGCTGCCCTTCCCTAGATAATCCAGCCATTTTGGTTACCTGCCCCCTTTTGTCAACCCTTTACCCTTTATCCTCCTGGTCTCTTTGTCTGGCTCTTCCCCTTTCCCCTCCCCCTTCTCCTCACATGACCCGGCTCAGTCAGGACTCTCCTGGATGTCCCTGCCTCTGGCTGTGCTCTCCCTTTTATCTACAGTAAACTTTCTCCTCCGCCATGCCTAGAAGCAGGCATGTCCTTCCTGTTTGTATTTCTCTCATTCCTCTGGTGCCAAAATCCGGGCACCCGTCTTGTCTTTTCCTTTTTTAATTCTTTTTTTTTTTTTTTTCAGTTGTGAGTTACTTTGGTATGACTCTGACCTTCCAGAAACAGCTTATGGGAAGAAAGTTTTAGATCTTGATTTTGGTCGATCCAGTAGAAAGGTATGATGGGAGGAATGACTTTGTTTGTGGTGGTGGGGTTGTGTGGTAGAACTGTTCACATGCTGGCAAATCAAGGAGCAAAGATAGTATGCTAGTATAGGGACCAGCCATGACAAACTCAATAGAGGCTTGAGTTTCAGATTACCCTAAGGTAATACTTGGGTTCAGGAAGGACCACAAACTAAGACCACCCAGGCATCACCCAGGAATGGACCATCCAAGAAGATGTACCTAATATTCCAAAGTAAATTCCTAACATTTCAACCATTGTAGATATGATCACCTGATGTCCCTTAGGCCAGCACACATCCATCTCTTTCATCAGGACACCCCAGACAAATATTAGTTAATCAGGTGTCCTGAACCCTAGAAATCCCTATCCTAACCTCTGCTATGATCAAAAACTATCCAAATTGAGCTCAAAGCTCTCTGATTGTGCCACAATGCATTGGACACATGGTGAATCCTAGTTTGAACTTGAATAAAGACTCTTTGCTTTTACATACGGGATTTGGTCTCCTTTTTGATTTTTGGGGGACTCTGCATTCTAGGCATAACAACTAGGGCCAAAATCCTATGCCTAATGGCTTCATATTCTTCAAAATAGCCCACCCAGGGAGGGCCAGCATCTAAAGGGAAGTACCTGACATTCCAACCATTAGATAAGATCACCAGATATCCCTGAGCCCAGGACTTACCTCTTCCCCTTTTGCCAAAATTCCTAGACAAATGTAAGCCAATGCAAGTCCTGAACCCTGGAAATCCTCTCACCCCAATTTCTACTACGATTAAAAAGAAACCCTATCCCAAATATTCCAGACACTCTCTGCTCTTGGAGAGACGGAGAGACAGAGAGTCCAAGCTTAAACTTGAATAAAGGCTGTAATGGATTAAGTAAAATGCTGCAGGTCCCCGAGTGGCTACAGCGGGCAGCGGGCCATGAGACCACACCTAGGTTCAATTTCCAGCATCCATGTGGTGGCTCAAAATCATCTATAATCCTAGTCCCAGGGGATCCAATGCCCTCTGCTGGCCTCCAAGGGCAGTGATGCAAGTAGAATACATGTATATATTCAGGTACACCTTAAATGAAAATAAATGAATAATCTAAAAAAAAAAAACCAACCCCCCCCCTAAAAAAAACTCCATAAGATCAGAACAATCAAAACACGAGCAAATCCAGGGGAGGACTTGACATCACAGTAGGTCATGAGTGTCCCATCCCTTTAAGAGACAAGCCCAGCTGTGAATCTTCTTCCCATTTACAGCCTGCATTCTCTTTGCCCAGTCTCTCTTGGGAAAAGGTGGCCATGATTTCTTCTATCCCCATCCCTCCCCCTCTCTCCCCCTTACTTTTTACTGAATAAACTATATCCAACCTCACTCTGCATGGTGTGCCTATCCAGGTCTGTCTCTCACCCATCGCTTGCCGGCTGTCCCTTGTGGCCGGCTGCCTGCTGCACCCCCCAGGAACTGTACCACAGCTTTTATCTAAACCACTACAATGAGGCTCTATCTCAGGCTGCCTTGTACCATGAATACACTTGATTTGTAAGAAGGAAGAGCAAGAGAGGGGAGCTCCTTTTAAGCGACTTTAGCTATGGAGCACACATGTCCATGTTGGTTGAAACAGCCTTGAATGTTCTAGCAGCCTGTAGCCCTTTGGATAGTTCCCCAGGCATATCCTCTTTAACTGTGCCAAGAAGACATCTTGAGACTCGAGTTGTATCTAGTGCCTTCTGTGGGCAGCATCTCACCCAGGAGCCCCTGCACCTTATCTTGCTCTTTAAATATCTATATGTTTCTATTGCATGTGTATGAAACTGTGTATTTGCCTGAATCTGCATCTGTGCACTATGTTTGCTTAAGTTTCTAGGACCTTCCAAAATAGTGCCACTAGCTGGAAGCCAAGCTCCCCTACTAGCAAGCTTTGACCATCACACACTTTTTTTTTTTTTTTTGAGGTAAGGGCATTTTCCATGTAAATCCTAACATGTACGCGCACACACAAATAAATAAATAAATAAATAAATAATAAATAAATATATAAATAGATAGATAGTTAAATCTAATTAAACATATAAATGCTTAGCCAAGTCATAGTGGCACACACCTTTAATCCCAGCACTAGGGAGGCAGAGGTAGGCAGATCTCTGTGAGTTTGAGTCAAGCCTGCTCTACATAGTGAGTTCCAAAACAGCCAGGGCTACATAGGGAGACCCTGTCTTGCAAACAAACAAAAACAAACAAACAAAATGTCAATGTGACTGTGAGCTTGCGGAACACTGTGTTTGGACCCTCACTGTGCCTACGCGGCGCGGTCCTCAGCAAGTCTTACCATATCCCATGTCTCAGTTTGTCAGCTGTAAAGTAGGTGTCAGGCAGAGGTGTCAGGGTGAGCAGATCTGCAGTAATTGCTTGTTATAATCTAGACAGAGAGTGACCTGGCCTTCATCACTACCACAATTGGCAGGGTTTCGTTCTTGGTGGTGGTGGCTGAATAGTACTCTATAGTGCATAGCAATCACGTTTCCTTATGAGTTCATTGGCTGGTGGTCATGAAGATTATTTCAATTTCTTATTTATTGTACATGGTGCTGTACTGAACACAGGAGGGTAGAGGCACCTTCAGTGGATAGATTTGATTTTCTTTGGATATATAGCAGGAGTGGGATTGCTGAATCATGTCTTTTCTTGTGTATACTCTTTTACTGCATGACACAACCAGCCATAAAACAAAATACTTAATTCTTGTGAAACAGAATATGGAAATTCTGAGAGGTAGATGTCAAGGACTGGCAAGCAGAAGATTGCATGTCATGGCACATGTTATAGACTAACTTTTGTACAGATTTCCAATTCAGTTCTTTTGAATATTCAGTGGTTTATGAAACGTGGTTTGAGAAACCTCAAGACATATGACTACATAAAGGAGAGACTTCCTGGGGTCTGAAGTGACTTGCACTCAAAGACACTCCAGTCAGCAGAGGAGTGCTGACCTGCTGGGGCTTGTTTGTTTGTTATTTTGAAATATTTCATTTTATGGTGCTGGAGAGTATCACAGTGGTTAAAGCCACTTGCTGATTTTCCAGAGGATCCAGGTTTGGTTTTCAGTGAAGTTTCCAAGAATAAGAATATAAAAATGTAGATTTCAGAAATAGGAATGTAGAAATAAATATAACGATATTAGCCTAGGAAAATGAGAACAGACTGTCAGCAGCTTTCTCAGTAGCTTAAGGATTAACTATTAACAGTGGGTTACTCCGCTTTATAACCCACACCTCTATTCACAAGGCCAAAGCATCTCTCTGCAAGATGAGAGCTAGCCTACGGATACAAGCTGAGTCAACTTTTAGGAAATAGATATATGACTTCTGGGTTATACATTATCCCTGCTATGTGAAATCTCCTGGTCTACATATGAAATTTTTTCATACTCAGTATAATCTTCTCTCTTCACCTTATTCCTATCCCACGGAGTCCCTTCTTCTTCTCACATCTCTGACCTTATCTTTTTGCTTTGTGAGTGTCCTCCTGCTTTTAATAAGGGCTACTGTTTGAGGATGCATGGGGCAGTGGATTGGGCACAGGGGCAAAATACTGAAAGGCAGAGAGTGAGAGAGTGGGTGGAGGTGGTAATCTGGCCTGACAGTTACAGCCTCCTGACCCTGAAGCAGACTGCCTGGAGGAGGGAGTAGATGTTAATCATAGTTTTAAAATTCCTTAGGCGCTTTCAGGTTCACACCTGCTTTGTCCAGTGTTTGTGTCTCCAAAGGCAGGCATGAAAGCAATGCATAAAAGAATGCGAACAGTTGTGGCTGCAAGCCAAGACTGCTCCCTCTTCCATGTTCCATCACCCATAGCCTGTACAGGGGCAGTGCACAAGGTCCTTCTCTTCCTACAGTCCCGACAAGTGCCAGAGTGAAGGAAGAGTCCTATCTACCATTCCTCTGTGAAGCAGGAAGACAGCTTTGCTTCTGCTACCTGCTTGCTGGTGGCCTTGTACAAAGGCTTAGCTTCTCTTGCTAACAGAGTCTTTGTCTTTGGAATGGGATCCGGTTTACACTATGCCTTGGCAACCATCTAGGCAGCAGTGACTCACAGTGCCACAGTAAGGCCATTTTTGGTATGACTGTTATTAAAGATGTCAATATTGGGTCAGATATGGTAATTCATCCTTGAAATTCCAACACTCGGGAGGCAGAGGCTGGAGTATCACCACAGATTTGAAGTCAGCCTGCTCTACATAATGAGTTCTAGGAAAGTCAGAACTTCATAATGAGACCACATTTCAAACCCCAAGAAGGGGGTTTGGGCATCCATATTAGGCTGTGTGAATGGTGGATCATGCTTGTATGCCCAGCTGTTTGGGAGACTGAAGTATGAGGATTGCTTGAGTCAAGGGTACAGAGCGAGCCTTGGCAATGATGGAGCTGCAAGCAAAGTCTCCAAAGAAATTCCCCTTAACTCAGCTGCTAGCTAGACCTGATGCAAATCAAACACTTTTAGCTTCCTCCTAGGTCCGAGGGTTACCATGGTTACCACTGCTGCATTTTTCTACAATTATTAATCACAAACTTCTAGCCTAACTAGTTACACTTAAGACATGTAGTTAGTGCACGGAAACTTCTTAGAATATTGTACTGATTCTTAACTAGTCCTGCCCGCTCTGAGATGCAAGGCCCCTCCTTGCCAGATTCACCCGTGTTGTGTGATCCTGTGAAAAGCATGCTTGTTAACGATCTGTGTGGGTCTATAAACGGGAAACCATGTGTGATGGACAGAACAGACAATAATGAAGAGGAACCGGCAATAGAACAGAGAAAGAATAGTGAAGCGGAAGAGTGAATTAGAGAAAGCATAGGAAGAATAAATGAGCCACGATAAAAAGACTTATATGAGCAAATTTATTTTATTTACCCTCAGATATCTTAGCCAGTTTTCACCTGCTATAGTGCTCTTTCTGAACCCTGAGAGGTTTAGTGGGCTTAACTGTAATG